ACCGCTTTCAGGAGATCTGGGTAGGAGGCTGTGGAAGAGAAGTAGAGCTGTCTGATCTGTGGGGAAGGCAGATGGCATAGTGGCCAGAAAGGAAATGCCACAGTAGGTCACATAGTGTCATGAGCCAAGTTCTCTCCACTGTGTTCAGCTGGGCATGTGTTTATTGACTGGCTGCATCGTCCTTGGCCCCTCCCAAGCTTGCCCAGGTCAGGCGACCGCATCACCCTAGATCTGGACCGACTGATCTCCAGTTCCTTTGGCAGAAGCCAGGGAAGCTGGACTATCTCTGGAAGGCCCGGCTGCTGGGGTGTGTTCTGAAGGAGTTTGGGTTGGTGAGCCATAGAGCTGCTCACCTAAGGCATGGTTATTGGGATCTTCCAAATTTTGTAGGTTTTATTCCCAGAGTATTCCAGAGTTTATTTTTCTGACTGGGGACAAAGGCAGGTGCAAAAGAGAAGGATTTGAGGGTGACTTGTGACTTTCTAAGGGTGAAGGGTTGCGTAAAACGTTAATTAGGTGTGAAAAAGTATGATTTGAGAATAGGCAAAGTCATGTGGTGCTTTGCTTCTCCGAGAGGCTTCCTGGAACCAACAGCATTCATATCACCTGGAGCTTATTAGAAATGCAGGATTCAGAGCACACCCCAGCTCTTCTGGATCAGAATCTTTTCTTTGACCATACCCCCAGGTGATTCTCAGCCATGTTAAAATTTGAAAAAGTGTTCTAGTGAGTAGAAGGGCGTGAGCTTTAGGATCAGGCGAACTCCTGATTTTCTATGTGATTCTGGGCCTGTTCCTTAGCCTCTCCACTATTGGTACTTATTTGTAAATTGGGTTTAACTTTCTTAGAGGGTTGTTAATATGAGAAGAGATAACATATAAGAAAGTGAGTAGAAACATGCTAAAGAACTTAACTGTTAGTAGCCCTTCTTTTTTTTTTTTTTCTTTTTTAAAGATTTTATTTATTTATTTATACATATAAGCACTGGGTACAGTCAGAAGCGGGAGGGTGAGAGAATTCACCAGAGCCAGAGTGGGGAGCAGAGCAGGCAGAAGGACCGAAGTACACTGCTGAGGGGAGCAGCGGGCAGCAGGAGAGGTCTGCGCGCCATGTGGGACCCTCCTCCGGGGCCGGGGAGCAGCCAGGGATCGAACCGGCGCTGCAGAGGCTGCAGGCAGCTTCGCAACCCAGCTCTCAACCGCTGCGCCACTCGGGAGGCCCTTAGTAGCCCTTCTTAGTAGTTATTTGATAAGTGGCATCCTAGTATAATTTTGTAGAATATAAAAAGAGAGAGCAGGAAATCATTAGGACAGACTTCATGAGACAAGAATTGGTAACTGAGAAAAATATGGTCTCCTGAGCAACGGGGCAGTGGATGTGGTCGACTCACTAACCAGTTCCCTCAGGGTAAGACTGTAAGTTACCAGGGGCTGACAGCTGTACTTAATGGCTACTGAACCCTTGGAATGGAGAACTGCAGAAGTGGTAGGCAGGTCTTGGCATTCACTTGGGGTTTTCCTTAAAGAGGAAAGAACCATCTTGGGAATTGAGACCTGCCCTCATTCTGCCCCTTTTTAGCTCTGTGGCCCTTAAGGCATTAATGTCTCTGGGATGATGATGTGTAAATTCCAGTACATCAGCAAGGATTTATTATCTCTTGGTGTCTACCACAGAGGTCAGTAGACACCCAAATCCCCAAAGGTGAATTTTATATGTGGTTGGGCCCCTTTAGAACCTCCAGGACTGGAGTCTTCCTAGCTGTTCTGGCTGCCTGGATTTCCCAATGACCAGAATGTGCCTCTGGAGAGCACACAGGCCTTTCAGGTATTGCTGCAAATCTCAGGGATTGGAACAGGACTAAATAAGCATTTGGGATGAAGTGATGATTTATGGTGATAATAACACCATTAGAAACAACACTGACGGCACATACGCAACATACTGCTGTGACCCAGTATTGTCAAATACAAAAATCCCCATCCCTTACACTATACATTGCTGCTTTTCAGGCTCTCGGTGTAAGAGAAGAGACCAAATGACAGCTGCTTTTGAACTTGAGAAATCTGGGCCTGCTAAAAGCTATAGTCACCCTTTTTTAACCTTAGCAATCCTCCTTGCATTCTCAGAAATAATTGCTGGTGCTTCTCTTTTAACTTAGCTGATTCCTTAGATACCTTACATTTTAAATCATCTTTTTGTGTGTAGCAAGTGCCCCATTTCTTGTCTCTGAATGTGTGATCTTTGCTCTAATTATGTTGAAAGTGCCTGTTATTTCACCTGACTCTGGTTGTTTGTGAGATTCTAAATAGCCATGGGGTTAAAGCTGACTCAGATCAAAGAGCAGCTCAGCCTCTCAGGACCTCAGTTTCCTCCCTTAAAAAGGGAAAAGATTGGACTAAGGTCATTTGGTCATGCGACAAGAGTATGTGATAGATAAAGTAATGAACTTCTGTCTGCTGAAAGCAATGAACGGGGCTCTTCAAGGTCCCTTCCAACTCTGGTTCAGCAGAGCCCAGGCATCGAGACAGAAGTGAAGATTTTATTCAGGGTATGGGGATTATCAATAGCAACAGTAAGATAAAACTTTAAGCAGGCATTAAATATTCTACATCTGAGCCATAAGGGAGATGTCTCAAACCATGAGGTAAATGTGCCCAAAGGTGCAGAATTGTTAGGGAGCCAGAGCAGAAGACCATGGAATAAATGCTAGAATGGCTTTTTTCTCTTGGCTTTTAGAATACAGAAATTCAGGCAGAGATAGGTGCGGTCCTGCTCTTTGCTCCACAGTTCGGCAGTTGTTTATTAGTAGACAACATACATATTGTAGGATCCCTGTTCTTGCTTCCCACCCCACCTGTCTCTGGTAAAGCTCTCCTTAACTGCGCTGTTCCTGTGGCAGAAGCTTCTCTCTCATAGCAGGTATAAGTTCCTCTGCTTATTTTCTGGCCTCCCTAACGAAGGTAGCCTTGTGTACCACATTTCTCTTAGGTGGCCAACCTCAGGTCCTTACCACCTCACTGTCCACAACAAAGATGGCAGCCACTCACTGACTGCCCTCCCAGTGCCAGGTGCAGCGCCACTCGTCAGCATATAATTCCTCTAGCTTTGTGTCCTCGTGTCTCCTCGAGCTGGCTAATGGGCCTCCCTCTGTGTGTAGTTCGCCCTTTCACCCTTGCCTGTTGACTTGTACCTTCCTTGCATTTACCAGCTCCAGTCCTTTCCCTTACCTTGGCACTCACTGGGGTCAGTCTGCTTTTTTCCCTTCTCGTCTTCCCTTTTCTTTTGTTGTCTCTTATAGATTGTCCTTTTAAGAGCTCTGTTTCGGTCATTCCAGTGTTGGGTCAACTTTGTTACAAACACCCTGAGGAGAAGGATCTTGTTTTATATTTTGTTCGACTCCCACACAGCACCTAGCAGTATAATGAGTAAATCGTTGGCGATTGACCCATAAATAGTTACTGGTTGACATGTGTCTATTGCTGGCTGAAGACTTAGGGGAAAATAAATACAGTAAATTGGAGAATGGTAAGTCCATTTGCTGAGGCAGAAATGAGTCTCATCCTCCAGTAGTGGCAGCAGAGGCCCAGTAGTGGCAGTTTAAGTGCCTTGCTAGTGACAGTGCCAGCAACTGTGGATTTCAGAACATCGACTTTAATTAATCAATCAATATATATAGCGACGTCTTTAGTGTTATAGCCCTCCTTGTTCATTATTAGGATTCCATGTTTCCTACCAATTATGACTTAATTCTTTCGCCTTTTCTGTTCATTCTTCTATGTAGGACTGTTTTGTTTTTTGTTTTTTTTTTTCCTCTTTGCAACTTAAAAACTCCTCATAATTTCAAATCCTTTTGGGAAATAGACAGAATAAAAATTTAAATAAATAAAAAAATAAATATTCTTTGTGCTCCTTTTAGAAAGCTGGCCTAGTTTCCACTTTGTGTTGAATTCCCATTTGTGTTTTGGGTCATTATGCAGCACTTGGTTCAGCCAATTAGTTTCTTCTTTCTAAGTATCTTTATTCTATATCAGTAGAGTCTTTTCTTGAGGCTTTAATATTGTTCCTTTGAGGAACATCCATCTTTCTGGTGCTCTTTTGTTGCTTAAATGTTCTTCCCTTGGGGCCTTTGACAATTTTCCCGAGCCTAGCAATTTCACTAAGTGCTTAATAACATAATTTAGGTTGCCTCTATACAGGAATCTACAGGACATCACTTAGAGATTCAACATGCAATGCTCCATTATCGTTTCTTAACTCTGAGAAGCACCTTTCACTGCATTATATCTAGTGCTATATTCTCTGTTTAACTTCCTTGAGGGGAAACAAGTAAGGTATATCCTAGAGGCTCTTACATTTTGGCCATGAGATCAGCAAAGGGTTATTTATCCTCTCTCAATAGTATATTTCTGTAGCCTTCATGATTACAGAGTTAATTTATTTAGCAGAAGTATTTTGTATTTAAAAGTGATCTGTGAAGATGTAATTGTTTATTTACAGATAGAGTCATAATCTGTGATGGCAGATGGCTAGTTTGAAAACTATTTAAGGATGATTCACAACTTCTCTTGGTAATAATAACGAACACATGTAGTATTTACTACTTGCTAGATCCTATTTTAAGTCTAAATACACCCACATATTAATTCTCTCAGAAACATTAACTGGTTTTTTAAAAAGCAATCTTGTAACAAGAAAATTTAATCTACTTCTTTATTACTGTGATTAGTGCATTTGGACTTATTGCTAACATCTGAGTTTTCTGTTACTATACTTTGCCTTCCTTTCCCTCTTTCCCCGTGTGCTAGTGGATTAATCATTATTTAAATTTTTTAATCTCTTGTTTGCAATATTTATTTAGCTCCTAATACCTTATGCCCTTACCTGTTAACATATATGCTTCACTTAACAAAGACCAAAGTTAATAATTTTTGTTACCTTTTTAACTCTTTGAACACCCTAACTCTAGTCTTTCTTGCTCAATTTTCATGTTTGATTTTTAGTTTCAGAGAGGCAGTGGCTATTTACAGACCTCAGAGCCAAACTGAACCCTAGCTCTACCACACACTGTGGGTAAGTTATGTAACTTCTCTGTACCATGATTTTCTTATCTGTAAAATGGGGGTGATGAGAATACCTACTTTATAGGGTTTTTGAAAGGATTAAATGAGATAATATATGCAGAGCACTCAGTAAGTGGTAACAGCTATGGCTGTCATTATTCTACCTTGTTTTTAACCCTCTCTTCACATACCCATTTTTAAAATAGTGCATTTTAATTATATTAAAACATTTAATTTTTTTATTGAATATAATTAACATATGTGCCGTGAATTTAAGTGTTCTCTTTGGTGAGTTTTAACAAATATTTATTCTTTACCCATCACTCAAAATAAGATGCAGCACATTTCCATTCCCCCAGAAAGTTTCCTTTGTCTCTTTCATTTCTCTTAACCCCTCACAACTGTATAACCACGATCTGAATTTTAGCACCTTAGATTTGTTTTGCATATATTTCTGTTTCCTCTAAATTGACTCATGTAGAATGTATTTTTATTTTTCCTGGCTTCTTTGACTTAACCTGATATTTTTAAGATTTATTTATGTTGTTGCATGTATCTGCAGTTCATTCATTATCATGAGACTGCCACATAGTTCTCCAAGTAATTGCACCATTTTCACACTTCCACCAGCAATGTATGAGAACTCTTGTCATGCCACATCTGGTGTTACAGTTCTTTCTGATTTTAACTTTTTATTGAATGTATCTAGCAATTTCTTTGCTACTTGCTTTTTTTTTACTCTTATACCTTTATTCTGGTTCATTTTCTCCTTGCAGCAATTCTTTTAATGACAGTCTCTGAATGTCTTTGAAGAAGACTTCGTTTCAATCTGGATATAGATACTTGTTTGATTATTATTTTCCTTAATATTTGAGAACTTACACAGTTTTTTTCTGACAGCTGTTCTTATTAATGAGACATCTATCAGTCTAGTTGTCATTCTTTTCGTTGTCATTCTCCTAAAAGTAGGATCTTTCAGTTTTCTTACAGTTTTTTTCTATGTGTTGTTGATGATTTGAAGTTTTCATCCTCAAGACTTGCTTCAGTCTTTAGATCTAGAAAATTCTTAGAAATTATGTCATCTAATTGCTTCTCCCACACGTTCTCCTTTGTCTCCACTAGCTCCATCTGGAACACCTGTTAGATGCATGTGTAACATCCCCCCCCTTTTTTTTTTTAAATTTTATTATTTCTATATATAAGCACTGAGTACAGTCAGAAGTGCGGGAGGGTGAGAGAATTCACCAGAGTGGGGAGCAGAACGGGCAGAAGGACCGAGGTACACTGCTGAGGGGAGAAGCAGGCGCGGCAGGAGAGGTCTGCACACCATGTAGGACCCTCGCCAGCAGCCGGGGATCGAAGCTGCGCTGCAGAGGCTGGGGGCAGCTTTGCAGCCCAGTGCTCAACCGCTGCACCACCAGGAGAGGCCCTGTAACATCCCCATTTTTATCTGCCTGTCCTTTAACTTCTCTTTAATATTTTTTCTTTTCTTCAGCTCTTCACTACCATCTGAGTAATTTCCCCAGACTTTCTCATCACCGATTTTCTCTTTAGCTATATCTAATTCATTCAGTTCATCAGTAGATGAGTTTCAGTGACTTAATTTTTTATTCCTGGAAGTTCTTTTGTCTCTTTTTTTATACATTCCTATTCTTTGTTAATATTATTTTGTTCTTTCACTATAATTTTCATTCATTTTTGCCTCTTTATTAAAATGAAACAATTAGTAATCTGTAATTTTCATGTTTTTCAGTTCTTGGGAATGCTGTTTGTGCTGTTTCCTGCAGCACAAATAGCTGGTGACTGATTTCCTCATGTGCCTTTTTGTTCTTTCTTTGTGCCATTTTGGGGTGGTGCAGGGAGCCTTCTCAGCTGTTACATTCCAGCATTTGTCTATCTGGGCAAGACTGTCCTTATTTGAGTTTCTTTTTCTCCCTCACTGCTGGCCCCTACTCCCATTTTCCTCCCTCCCTATAGGCATGCACTTTGATGTATTGGATAAATGTCTTTGGCTAAACATATGGCTTTATCTGTCACATAATATAGTTTATGTAACTTATATAAATGATATGTTGTAGATCTCGTTCTGATTCTTCCCTTTTCATTCAACACTGTGTATTTAATATCTGTCTGAATAGCAAGTCATTGCTTCTTCTTAATACTCTGTATTCTCTAGTATACAGCTGCGTATTTACTAAGGTTCTTTTGATGATGGATGTCTAAATTGCCTTGCATCTCCCCTCTACCAAAAACAATGCCACAGTAATCTTTCTGACCACGTTTCCTTATGGACCCATGTGAGCATTTTTCTAAGGTCTGTACCCAGGAGTATGATTCCTGTGTCACAAGGCATATATGTACAGAAAATTCCAGTAGATATTCATCAGCATGTTTTTGAGAACAGCGCTAGCAATTATGTAATGGTACCTTAGGCTCATGCAAATCCGTGTTCTACCATGTTACTATGGTAACTCCTCGACTTCTCTGAGCCTTAGTCTTCCTGTCAGTAAAAGGGAATAATCATAATTACAGCGTCTTCCTCATCAGGTTCTTAAGAGAATAAAATGAATTTATATATGTAAAACTTATTCTTGAAAATATGAAGCACTTCCTGAATACAACAGACAAATGTTCACTGCTAATGCTATAATTATAACAATTATTATTACTTGTTAGCCAATTAAGTGTCTCCTCTAATTTGCCTAATTACATCATTTGCCCCTGCCCAACGCCCCCCTCCCATTTCAGTTATTTCTCCTAAGATTTGCAGCAATTTTTGTATATTCTAAGTAATTCCTTGTTGCCTTTAAACTTTGCAGGTATTATCTCCTACCATTCGTCCATTTGTCTATTAAACAGGGCTAGGCTAGGGCCTCCCTAGTGGTGCAATAGGTTAAGATGCAACCTGTGAAGCTGTCCGCAGTCTCTACAGCATGAGTTCAATCCCCGGCCAGGGAGCAACCCACATGGCACAGCAGACCTCTCATGACTCACCTGCTGCCCCCTGAGCAGTGTATTTCAGTCAATCTGCCTGTTCTGTTCCCCACTCTTCTCTGGTGAATCTTCTCACCCCCAACACCTCTGGCCTGCACCCCAGCTCTTGTATGCATAAATAAATAAATCTTTAAAAAAAAAAAAAAAACACATGGCTAGGCTGTAGAGCTCCTGGATGGAAACCTTTAATATGATTATAGTCAGATTCATCCTTGAGGATAGGGGCATTGTTCAAGAGTTTCCCTACCCCTGCTCCAGGAGAGCCTCTGACATTTTCTGCTGTTAGCTTTTAAAGATTTACCTTTTACATTCATGTCTTTCTCATGGTGTATGATGGTGAACTCTTTCCTGTGTTTTTCTTCTTCCTTGTATGGGTCTCTGTGCTTTGGGTTATAAAAGTATTTTGGTTTTGGGCCTCCCCGTTGGCGCAGTGGTTGAGCGCTGGGTTGCGAAGCTGCCCGCGGCCTCTGCAGCGCCGGTTCGATCCCCGGCTGCTCCCCAGCCACCAGAGGAGGGTCCCACATGGCGCGCAGACCTCTCCTGCCGCCCGCTGCTCCCCTCAGCAGTGTACTTCGGTCCTTCTGCCTGCTCTGCTCCCCGCTCTGGCTCGGTGAATTCTCTCACCCTCCCGCGCTTCTGACTGTACCCAGTGCATGTATAAACAAAACAAACAAACAAACAAACAAATAAATAAAACATGCCTCTATTAAAAAAAAAAAAAAAAAAAAGAAAAAATAAGAGTTTTAAAAAAAAAAAAAGAAAAAAAAAGTATTTTGGTTTTTTCAAAAGTGCTGCATGTCAAAGGTCAATTTTTATGGTAATAGCTTATAAATTACTACTGTATGATACAAAATGTAAATTTGGATTCTATAGCTCTGATAGCATAGGCTTACATTTTAGAATTCTTTTTTTTTTTTTAAGATTTATTTATTTATTCAATTTTTTATACAAGAGCTGGGGTACAGGCCAGAGGCGTGGGAGGGTGAGAGTATTCACCAGAGACAGAGCAGGGAGCAGAGCGGGGAACAGAACAGGCAGACAGACCTAAGTACACTGCTGAGGGGGGCAGTGGGCGTGACAGGAGACAGGAGAGGTCTGCCACGCCATGTGGGAATCTCCCTGGCTGTCCGGGAATCGAACCCGCACTGCAGAGGCTGCGGGCAGCTTCACAGTGCTGCGCTCAACCCGCTGCACCATCGGGGAGGCCCCCATTTTAGAATTCTTGTGCCTTTTCTCATACTCAAGACCTAGATAATTAGCAACTCTTTTTGCTCTTCCCTGAACCAGTGAGCACAGATTTTTTTAGGCTGCCTATCAAGAAGGCATAGGTGTTTGAGGCACTGGGCTTTGTGCAAGGGTCTCATTTCCAATTCCCCACCTTCTACCTGCCTGAAGCTATATTTCCAGTCTCCGAGTGAGCATTAATGCTTTCTCCTCCAAGCCAGGGCCTGTATTGGAGTTTGAAGCCCCTGTGGACCACCATGGTCTCAATACCCTCTTACTGTTCTAGCTTTGATTTTGATGTCTCTTTCATTTCAGGTGCCTGGGGATTTCTTTTTCTTTTTCTTTTTTTTAAGCTTGACTATATATTTTAAAAGCATTTTTATTATATTTTATCCAGCATTTGTGTGTGTGTGTGTGTGTGTGTGTGTGTGTGTAATGGGAGAAAAGGTCCATTTACATCTGCTCAGTGTGCCATTGCCACAAAGTCTGTTTTTTAATTAGTATTCTGTTAACCTCCGTTAAATTGTAACTTTTAACATTGCTAACTTATATTCAGTTAGTAACCCTTGATCACCCTTGAATGTTTTATGCCCTAACAATCGCCATCTCTTTTTAGTGCTGAAATTTATAACCATGTTTTAAGTATCTGTGTGGGTAAGCCACATAGTTAGGTTCCGTGTTTTTTTTTTTAACCTTGCTTAGCCGCTCATGCTACTAAAATTATTTTATTATTTTCTCATCAAATTTTAGTTAACAAAAATAGGAAGTAGCTCTGATCACAAGTCCTTAGTT